GGACTTGCCGTGCTCGTGTGATGAGTAATCAAGCGCTTGTCAACGTCATAGTCGCTCGCAAGCGAGCTCCTTCTCACTGAGTTTTCGTAGCACAAGTGTCCGGTAGAAATATGTGTGCCGAACGGCGAAGAAGGCATCGCTTCTCGGCCTTTTGGCTAAGATGCTGAGGGTAGGCGTTGCGGATGAAGGGATTCTCTGACATTACTGCAGAGGTCCATAATGTCTGACGCACCCTTTCTGGAAGCATCGGTGCTGAGGGAGCCCCGGGGTTGGGGGGAAGCCGAGCTGCACTGCGATCAAACCTTGGTCATATTGCACTAAGTTGGCCAAGTGAAATCAGCACGACTGGTATGGGACCATTGCATCGCTGGCCTCTCCTGGCAGTGTCTCTGAAGCCGGTACTGGTCTTCCCAAAAGAAGATCAAGTGTAGATCTTAGTGCTCCGTAAAAATTTCCAAATTTTTAGCCAAATTTTTGTTTATAAGGCCATAGTTATATATTAAATTGTTTGTAAAAGTCTCGTGAATCTGTTTGTTGGATTTAGAAATCGTTACCGTATTGTTATAAAGTTTTATTTGCATTTATTTGTATACTTTGGAATAATTGTTATCCGTACGCTGTAAATTCCGAAATTTGGATTCTGGCTGATTTCTCGTGAATTACGTTCTGGTTTCTGGTGAAATTTACGCTGTGATCTACGTTTTGTGTTTATATTAACGTGTGAAAGTTTGGTATTCATGCGGCGTATTGTTTTGGAGTTATATGGATTTGTTCGTTTTGGCCGTTGGATAATTTTTGAATTCTGACCTGTCTAATTTGTTCTGTTTAATTCGTTGTTTCACGTAATTTGTGCGTCCATCGTTCGTTGTTACTGTTATTCGTCGCTGGATTCAGATTCGTGTCATTACTGGGATCCTTTTGATATATATTTTGTACAGTTTTTGTAACGTTTGAGTACTATTTCTGTGTTTTTGTGCTATATCAGACTACTCAGCGCATAGCAATATATTAACTGTGTGCATCCCGTTGGAATTAAACTTTTGCATATAACTTCGGTTTTATTTTGGCTTTATCTTTCAAACTTTCCAGTTGTATAGTTATTTGGGTTCTTTACACCTCCAGCAAGTTTGGACAGTATATTATCCTGAAAGGAATTCAAACTATGGGACCTTTTCTATTTTTCAACCGTCACTTTGCGTATTATTTAAATATATCAAGTGTTGACATCCCGTCTGAACCCAACTTTCGCGTATAACTTTGGAATTATTTCAGTTATATTCGTGAAACTTACCTCATTCTTAGATATCCTGGCCACCATCATCTACAGCAAGTTTGATACGTATATCATTAAAGGAATTGTAATTACGGGACTATTCTTTTTTCCAACGGTCACTTCGTAGTTATTTTATTAACTAATTGATATTCAGTTGCTGATTTTACGGGAATTCCCCTTATTTTATGTCGCTTTGGAATTCAAGATTAGTTTTATGCTCAGTTATGGCTGTTTTGGATTATTATTTGTTGGTGCGTGGGTTGTTTTGATTAATAACAGTATTTAAATATTGTCTGTCCATATACTTTCGTCGTGATGCCCTGTTTTAAATGTACTGATTGTAACTTTGTTGCTAAATCGAGTCAAGGTCTTGGAGTTCATCGATCGAAAAAACATATTGTTAATGACTCTTTGTCCATGAATGTAGTCTCTGTCTCCGTCATATGCGTATATCCTGAGAGAAGTTTTTATTGTTGTTCATGTGATTCCATTGTATTTAACACCTTACCCGTCATTTTAAGAAACTTCATCCTGGTATTAAGATCTTATCGTCAGCCCGTTGTTCTGTATGTGGTAATGGGTTCTCCAGTGGTCAAGGTGGCGGAGTCCACGTTTCGCGTACTATTTGCGGTCGGAGTAAACTTCCAGTTGCTGATGAACCAATAATGTCCACTGCAACGTATCGTGATGATGAGTCGACTTCCGATATAACGGATTTTCATGCCAACAACACCCTCTCCTCATCCCAATCCCCACCCTCACAGTCACCTACCCCTCTTGATTCGGTGGTCGCCCTTAGCAGTTGTGCTGCCGATGAGAGAGTCCCTTTCACACCACCCTCATCGGATATTACTCCTGTAGATAACACCTCTACGGTCGTCTTAAATGACTGCACTGTTGAAGAGTCCTTTACACCAAAGATTCTAACCAGTCCTATACCACCTGCGACTCTGGAAGACTTATCCATTGAGGATGACAATGATCCCTTTGACATCCCCCGACCCTTATTCCTAGATAGTTATTTCCAATCAACTTCACTTAATCCCTCAGCTCCCGCTTTTCACCCTACCTCTCCCCCAACCAACCATACCAACTCGGAACCCACATCTATTCCTGATTATCCCTCCTCACCCGCTTCGAGTCCATCTGAATTCGGGTCCTCCTTTTCAAGTATTCCACCTCCACCATCCCTCTCTAGTCCTGCTCAGTCCAGTAATCCCAACACCTCCTTGCCTTCCCATCTACCAATTCTTGAAGCAGCGGTCGTCTTAAGCGATTGTACTGCTGCGAATAGTAATGCTCCCTTGTCCACCTTTCCCTGTTTAACCAACCTTCCCCTCCTCCTAATTCCTCCCCTCCTCAGTTAAGCCGCCCGTACCCTCCGAACCTCAACCAGCATCGTCCTCCTGAGCCAGCGGTCGCCTTAATTGGTTGTACTGCCGGGGATGGCATCGGTGGACCTCTCCTCTCATCCCCAACTACAGCATCCCAGAACCCCTTCATTATCCCTCCTCCACTTGCTGATATGTCATTTCTTACACCGACAGTAACACCTTCATTTCATTCAGATAATGTGAATAATCATCAAGCAAATCCTCCTACCTCCTCCCCATCAAGTATTCCACCTCCACCTCCCCTGTCTTCCAATTCCAATCACACAGATCCCATCATTGAATTCCAATCAAAATGTCCCGCTGTTTTTTCTGCTGACTGCGGTTGGGATCAGTTTGCGAAGAATTGCGACGATTTCGCTGAGGATGTCATCAATACCAGTGAAATTGACTTTCAGAGGAAAAACCCCGCCCCTCGCCGCTTAAACCGCCCTTCTGCCAGACCCGTCAATTCCAACAGACGGCCTGTTAAATACAATCCTATTCAAGCTAGAAAGCTACAGAGTCTGTACCGCATCTCAAAAAAGCGTGCTGCTAGAAAAGTCCTCAATGACAGCAAACCTTCCTATGATGGTTCAGTTGATGATGCTAATGAATTCTTCACGTGTGTATTTGGTCCTAAATCCTGCGACATTGAGGGTGTTAAAAGTGGTCTTAATGATTTTGTTCCATCTGGCCCCGCTGATAATCATCTCGCTGATCACCTATCTCCTGACGAAATCAAGAAAAAACTCTGTGTTTTATCAAATTCTGCACCGGGAGCTGATCGTGTGGAATACCGCCATCTGAAATCTGTGGACCCCAACTGTAAAATCCTATGTTCCATCTACAACCGATGTCTTGATGCTAATGATGTTCCCCAACAATGGAAAAATGCTAACACCATATTGATCCACAAGAAAGGGGACAGCGGTGAAATATCGAACTTTCGCCCAATAGCTTTGATGAGCTGCATTTACAAATTATTCATGAGTGTCATAGTCAATCGTCTGGTAAATTCTGCAGTTGTAAACGAACTATTGTCTGACAGCCAAAAGAGTGCTAGGCCATCTGAAGGATGTTATGAACATACCTTTCTCTTGCAATCCCTTTTCCTTGATGCCAAGAGACTGCAGAAAAATGTTTGTTTGGCTTGGTTGGATCTCCACAATGCTTTTGGTAGTGTCCCTCATGATGTAATCAAACTAACACTCTCCCATCTTCGTGTTCCTCAATCCCTGGTAGATCTTATATCTAATGTATATACCGGAGCTACTACAGTAATCCGCACACCTGCTGGTGACACTAGTAACATTCCAATTTTATCTGGAGTGAAGCAGGGCTGCCCTTTATCGCCTATCTTATTCAACCTAAGTGTCGAAATCATCCTCCGTGCAGTTCTAGCAAAAGCTAATTCAATTGGTCCAGCTAAACACCATGGTCTCCCAATTTCAGTCCTTGCTTATGCGGATGACCTTGTCCTAATTTGTAGAGATAGGAAGAAATTACAACAACTGCTCGATGCTGCTGGTGAGACTGCCACGTTGATAGGTCTTGAATTTCGACCTGATAAGTGTGCCTCGCTTTGTGTCACCTATTCCAAGCGTGTTGAGGGAAACATTCAACTTATTGATTTTTCTGTGCAAGATCGAATTATGCCAGCCTTAAACCAGCACGAACACTACCGTTATCTCGGTGTTCCTATCGGTATGATGAGAGACATTGATTCGCTTGATCACCTAGTTGATAACCTTTGCCAAGACCTGGAAAGAATTCATCCCTTCTTTCGCCCTGGCAAAAGCTTGATGCAATCAGAACCTTTGTTCAACCATCCCTAACCTTTGCGCTTCGTGCCGGCGATCCGGAAAAAGCATCCTTAGTCAAATACCGTCAGAAGCTAATCGAAATCGTTCAAAATATATGCAGTCTTCCAAATCGAGCTTCGCAGTCCATCATCTTCGCTAGTACTAAAGTCGGAGGCTTTGCCTTACAAGATCCCCTGGTTGAAGTCGATATCCAAACTACAGTCCAGGCGATTAAAATGCTGTCTTCTAATGATCCTTTGGTATCAACAATAGCAAAATCAGAGTTGAAGCAATCGGTTCGCTTCGCAGTAAGAGCGGATCCTTCCCCTGCACTAATTCAAGATTTTCTGTCTGGTTCTACTGAAGGTGCATTCCACCCGACCTAATCCGCTACCGGACGCACTTGTTGTGGACTCGTGCTCATAAAGCCTGTCGTAACCTTAAGATATCGTTCCAGGTTCCTGACTTCAACCCTCCTTTCCTAACTCTTGATTATGGTTCCCCAGTTCTTGCCAAGCTGGCTTGTACCAAACTACACCACCTCTGTCAAGATCGCGCCGCCGATAAACTCTTATCACTTCCCGATCAAGGTAAAGTGGCTCGTGCCCTTGTCAAAGACCATTTTGGAAATGGCTCGTTGTGGATATACTCCGGCCTCAACATCCGATTTAAGGATTGGCGATTTGTTCACCGTGCTCGTCTTAACCTAGTTCCTACAAACCAAAACAAGCACAGGTGGGATGATCTTCAATCCCCTATATGCCGAGTTTGCAACACCGATCCTGAAACCTTACCCCACATCCTTTGCCACTGCCCAACTAACCTTGTCGATGTTAGAGGAAGACATAACGCTATTCTTGGTCGTTTAACCAATGCCATCCGTTATGGTGAAGTTCGAGTTGACCAACAAATTCCAGAGTTAAATGATGAATGTAGACCCGACATTGTGATTATGGAGAACAATGAGGTTACAGTAATTGATGTCATGTGTCCCTTTGAGAATGGTGATGACGCCCTTAAGTCAGCCGAAGATCATAAAGTCAACAAATATAGTCATTTGGTTGATCATTTCAAGCATGAGGGTAAAGTGTGTCATGTCTTTGGTTTTGTTTTTGGTGCGCTTGGTGCCTGGCATCTAAATAATGAAGCCGTCCTAAGTCAAATAAGAATGTCCTTATCATACAGGAAACTTTTCAGGAAACTTTGCTGCAGTGATGCTATAAAACACTCAGCTGACATTTACTATAAGCATATTAGTCAGTAGATTAGTGCACAATAGGTGCACATAGTTGAACATTCTTAGTTTAGTTTTAGTACATATCAAACACTACATTTATATAACTATATATACATTTTAGTATTAGTTAGTGAACATTCCAAATTTATGGATATTAGTAATGATTTTGAACATTTTTGATCAAACTGAACATTACCGTTAGATTAAGATATTAATATATCTTCATTATTGTATATAGAAATCACTATGTAATTAGTCATTCAGTTTAGCCTCTTCTAAGTATCTGCATGTAAAATTTTCACCATGAATAAATTTGTAAGATCTGTTCTTATCAGCTTAATATCTGATATGTTAGGCAATGCCTAACTCATATATTAAACTGATTTTTGGACTTCGGCCATGGGATTGAAGCTTGCTTCGCCCTGGCCACGGGTTGTCTCGGTATTGCACTACATCCGAGTACGGCCCCTTCCCCACTTGGGGAAGAACATTTTTTTATTTCAAAAACAAATCAAACTATAAAGCAATCTCTAGTTTATTAGACGATTACACACACACTTAACCAATAGATTATTAACACCATACTCGAGAATACAATACCACGTGAAATAATCACGGCCTTCTCATGCATATATAACATACATATCATATGACTTTGTAACACTTTATTATTAATATTCTATGTCGATATTTTACACCTTGTGAGCGTGCTTTCATTCAACTATGAACCGAATCGACTACATATAATTTGACTAACATACTTTTTCATTCTCTAGATCGCGGCACATGAGGTTCAAGACAAGAGGGGAAACCCCCGAACTACCACAATCGCGTCTCATCATCATTGTGTATGTAAGGTGAGCGGCGCAAACAACAGCATACTTACCTGATGCGAGGTACTTTCTTGCGTCAGGTTCTTCGCACCTGCTGAGTGAGGATCTATGCTTGGAACACGGTCCATAACTCGCTCACAGGTTACTTACTAGCTGCATTTCTTTGTGCAGACACGCCCTCTTCTTTGTTCTGTCTTCCGGTTGACTGGCCAGCCTAACTTGTTGGGCGTTTAGGTAGCAACTAGTCCAGTTCTTTTTCTCTTTTGACTGCTTGCCTCGTTCTTCGGATCGTGGTCAAGTAGTTTTCCTGGCTGTGGGACTGGGTGGTTAGCACCCAGCACAGTTTAAGGCCGCCAGTACCAGTGTATATATCATTAGGTAGTGGTGACTAGTGTGTTTTCTGGTTGTTTTCCTGTCGAGTGGTCTGACTAGGGGATCATTCAAAGGAAGGTTGCCTTTTGCTGTTCTTTGTCTTTGCTTCTGTTGCAGACTTGAGGTCTTGGACCAATATAGTCTGTTCCCTGGCACTCGTTCTTTGGCAAAGGACACGTTGTTTTTGTAAATATTTAGTGCGCATGCGCAGTTGTTTTTTGCTCTTTATTAGGGAGAGCTCTTTGCATTCTACCAGTTTGCTTGTCTGTTGGTTTTAAGACAGGTACGCGGGTGTTCTTTTAGGTGTATTAGTAGGTTTTATTAGTTTTTTCACGTATTCTGCGAATGGTGGTCGCCTTTAGGGGTTGAACTGCCTGAATCAGTTTTACTTGGGGTACAGCTAATTTTCCTGTGTGTCTTGTGTCACAATTCCATCGCTGTTGACAGTTTTTTCTAATACATCTTTGGTTATAAACACACATTTAATATATTTTATAACTATGGCAAGTCGCCCATTTACCAAAAGAGGATTTTGCCAAGTGGAACACCACAACATCTGTGCTCCATGTGCCCAAACGGTTGGTAGGTAAGGGCAAAATTTCTCAGCTACGGGCTGACTTTGTAAAGGCAATTGGGGCGGAGAAGGTTTTGGCATTTCAGATCTTGCCAAACCATAAGGTTCGCATACAATTTAAGTCTCCCTCTATACATGTAAGGTATGATATTAATGGCCTGTCGTTTAGAGGGGTAACTCTAACGCCATTTCCCGCATACGAGGAGGTGAAGTCAGTTTTTGTCGATCGTGCTCCTCTTCAAATGGGGGACAATTATCTTTTTGAGGCATTGGCGCCATACGGTTGAGTGATTTCCGTCCAACATCTGACGGTGCGTGGTTTTCCAACCATCAAAACCGGCACTCAAATGGTGTCAATGTCAGTACATACTTCTATACCGGCGGAATTAAAGGTTGCTGGATTTACTCTGGCCTTTAGATATAGGGGTCAACTTCCAACTTGTTACGTATGCCAGGAGGTGGGGCATACGGCAAAGGAGTGCCCCAAATCGCGAAAGGCCTTACATAAGCAACCTGTCCGCAAGCAGACTGGTGCACAGTCTGCACATAGTAATATAAACAAACCCTCACAGCAGCGTGATGTGCCTCCTTCAACATCACAGGAGTCACCTGCTTCCTCAAAGCCACCTGCTGACCTGAGGGAAAAATTAAATAAGGCTAGAGCTTCAGAGGAAGCTCGGAAGGTGCAACCTCCTAGCACACCAGTGCTAAAAGAGGTCCAAGTTGCGTTTGAGAAATCACCGCGTGATTTACGGGATAAGTTGGAAAACGCTAAAGTTACTATTTTGATTGGAAGTGACGTGCCCGAAGCTCACTGGATTTTTGAACAAAGACGTGGTAGACCAAAAGAGCCATTAGCTGCACGAACATTACTTGGATGGACATTATTGGACCCAGTTGGAAGTGTTTCCCGACAGGAAGTTAATGTCAACTTTATACATACGAATCAAGAAATGATAACTTCCCAGCTACAGCGGTTGTACAATGCGGAGTTCATTGAGACGTCGAGCTCAACAGATATGGCGATGTCAGTCGAAGATCGTCGAGCACTGGCCATAATGGAAAACACCGTTCGTAAAGTTGATGGTCATTATCAAATCGCGTTACCTTGGCGGTATCAGTCACCTTGTCTTCAAAACAACAGATCGATGGCCGAGAGAAGACTACGTTTGTTACAGAATCGCTTGAAGAAAGATGAATCACTCCGGGTGAAGTACAGAGGACGTGATCAATGATTACATAAAAAGAGGTCACGCTAGAAAAGTTCCTGTCAACATTAATGACGATTCAAAAGAAAAGCCAGTCTGGTATCTTCCGCACCACCCTGTAGTCAAGCCAGATAAACTGAGGGTTGTATTCGATTGTTCAGCGCGTTACAAAGGAACATCTCTCAATGACCAGTTGCTGAGCGGTCCTGATCTGACGAATTCACTGGTAGGTGTCCTTACACGATTTCGCCAAGAACCGGTAGCAGTAATGTCTGACATCAAACAGATGTTCCACCAGGTTAAAGTGGACCCCAAAGATAACGATGCTTTCCGCTTTCTGTGGTGGCCAGACGGCAATTTATCCAAGGAACTGCAAGATTATCAAATGCTGGTACATTTGTTTGGTGCAACCTCCTCTCCAAGTTGCGCGAGTTATGCACTTAAGAAGACCGCAACTGATAACCAAGGTGAATTTGACATCCAGATGATTGACACTTTAAATCGTAACTTTTATGTTGACGATTGTCTCAAGTCGGTACCATCAGTCGAGAACGCTTTAACTATTGTACAAGAACTTCCCAAGTTATTGGCGAAAGGTGGGTTCCATCTTACAAAGTGGATTTCGAATTACCGGGAAGTAATGAGTGTTATCCCAGAAAAAGAAAGAGCTTCAACTATTGTGGACTTAGATTTGGATAAGCTACCCGTAGATCGTGCTTTGGGAGTACGATGGGATGTTGAGAAAGACAAGTTTGGGTTTAAAGTCACTAGTCAAGGTTCATTGGATACAAGAAGAAAAGTTTTGTCGTTTGTATCCTCGATCTATGATCCTCTTGGGATTGTGGCTCCTTTGCTTCTGCCAGCCAAGAAATTTTTACAGGAGTTATGCAAGCTTCAATTTGGATGGGACGACTTAATTCCGCAAGAGAATTTCCCTATTTGGAAGCAGTGGCTTAACTACCTATCGAATATCGAGAATCTCACGGTGTCGCGTTGTTTAAAGCCTGAGAACTTTGGAAACCTTCGTTCTGCTCAGTTACATCATTTCTCGGATGCATCAGAAGATGGTTATGGAGCTGCTTCATATCTTAGACTGGAAAACATATCCGGGAACATTCATTGTGCTCTTCTCTTGGGAAAGTCGCGAGTCGCGCCTTTGAAAACCATTACAATCCCTAGAATGGAACTAACGGCTGCAACAGTAGCTATAAATCTGCATAAGTTGCTTTCGAAAGAATTGGAGATTCTTATTCATCAAACGGTATTTTGGACAGACTCTACGATTGTCATTCAGTATATCCGTAACGAAGCCAGAAGATTTCAGACGTTCGTGGCAAATCGGTTGTCATTGATTCATGAAGTTTCGTTGCCGATGCAGTGGAGATATGTTCCATCAGAGTTAAACCCAGCTGACCATGCCTCTCGTGGTATAAAGGCAACAGATACAGACTATCTAGATCATTGGTTAAATGGTCCTTCGTTTTTGTGGACGAATGAATGCTACTGGCCACAACAACCAACAGATCTCATAGAGCTGGCTGGAGATGAGAAAGAAATAAAGCAATCACACCATGTTCATACTGTTAGTCAGAATGACGTAATGGTTCATTTGATTTCTCGATTTTCAAATTGGTGTCATCTTCAACTCACCATTGCCTGGCTCCTTAGATATAAATCATATTTGAGAGCACAGGTTAAGACATCGTTACGTAATTTCGATCGTGGTCCCCTCAAAGTCTCCGAGATTCAGTCAAGTACGAAAGAAATTGTTCGATTGGTGCAAATGCAAGTATTTACGAAAACTTGATCCTATACTAGTCGATGGTATTATTCGAGTTGGGGGACGTATTGACAAAGCTCCGGTTTGTTACAATGTACGCCATCCTATGATTCTGCCCGGGAAACACCACGCCACAGCACTAATTATTAAACATTATCATCACATGGAAGGACACGTTGGTATTAGCCAAGTTTTGGCAACGATTAGACAGAAATTTTGGGTTCTACAGGGTCCAGCAGCTGTTAAACAAGTAGTTGGAGAATGCCTTACTTGTCAGCGTTGGAATTCGCGTCCAGAAAGTCAAATTATGGCTCCATTGCCAGACGCGAGGGTAACACCGGCACAACCTCCATTCTCATGTGTTGGGATCGATTATTTTGGACTTATTCCGGTGAAAGTTAAACGTAGTACTGTCAAACGATACGGTTGTGTATTTACATGTCTTGGGATGAGAGCCGTGCATATTGAGATCGCGTATGATCTAAGTACTGATTCATTTATCCAAGCCTTCATGAGATTTGTCAGTAGACGTGGTCCGCCCCACTCAAGTTTTTAGTGACAATGGAACCAACTTCAAGGGAGCCGAAATTGAAATAATGCACGCTTTGAAGAATTGGAATCAGCATCGAATAATAAATGTTTTGCGAAATCGAAGCATCGAGTGGCATTTCAACCCACCAGCCGCGAGTCATGCAGGAGGAGTATGGGAGCGAATGATCCGCTCGATACGGAAAATACTACGCTCGATATTGGGTAATCAGTTGGTCAACGATGAAACCCTTTTAACTGTCATTACTGAAGTGGAGAAGATCTTAAACGACAGGCCGTTGACTCGTGTGACGAATGATCCCAATGACCTTGATCCTCTTACTCCTAGTCAGTTATTGTTGTTACGACCTAATTCGAGTCTGCCATCTACAGATCTCGGTAATCTTGTTCCATATAGAAAACGTTGGAAACAGTCGCAATACCTGGCAAATGTTTTTTGGAAAAGGTGGCTCAAAGAGTATTTACCAATCCTGCAAGAGCGACAAAAATGGTTTCGCCCTAAGAGAAATGTTCAAGTTGGTGATCTAGTATTGATTGTTCAAGAGAATGTTTCACGTGGTCAATGGCCCAAAGCTTTGATTGAGGAAGTATTTCCTGACAAGCGTAGACAAGTCCATCAAGTAGTAGTAAAGACTGCTACAGCCCGTATGCGACGAGATGTTCGCAAAATTTGTTTACTAGAGGGCGCAAATTAGGACGTTAATTAACTTTAATACATTAAGGATGATAATTATAAACATTT